GTTCCATTGTTCACTTTCTTTTGACTGAAATGTCCTGGATTATGATAACGCTAAAGCCTGTTGGCATGCACCACCTTTGGCTTACCTCGCCGACCGCATTTTATTCGAAAAGTCACGTCTGAGAGATGATTCACTATGTCATATGGGCCTTCCCATGGAGAAGACATCTTAGGAGACTTCCCTTTGGTCTTCCTGGGATTATACAACCACACCTTGTCTTCTGGTACAAAGCTGACTTCAGTAGATCTCTTATCATAACATAGCTTCATGGAATTATCACACGTTTTCAAGTTTGAACGCACTTGATGGTGAATATTATCCATCCTTTCAGATAACAGTTTCTCGACCTCTGACACATTTTCAGGCGACTCTTCGTAAGGTGGGCGTCCTCTTATCAGATCCACTGGCAACCGAAGTTCCCGACCAAACATCATCTTTGTTGGTGTGTATCCAGTGGCTTCATACTCTGCTGTTCTATAGGCCATCAACAGCGGAGGGAGTAAGACATCCCAGTCATCTTGGTGGCTATTACAAAACTTTGCCAATTCCTGTCCCAGTGTTCAGTTGTACTTTTCTACCATCCCACCAGACTGTGGGTGAAGTGGCATTGTTCTGGTCTTTCGTATGCCAAACAACTTGCAGCGTTCATGGAACACAGCTGATTCAAAGTTACGGCTTTGATTCGAATGCAGTTTGTATGTCATACCAAATCTGAAGAAGAAATCACTAATAACCGAAGCTACAGTTGTAGCTTCCTGATTTAGTATTGCATATTCCTCAGGCCATTTGGTGAAATAATCCATCACCACACAAATGTACCTGTTTCCAGCACGAGTTTGGGGCAAAGGACCAGCTATGTCAATGGCTACTCTTTCCATTGGTGCACCAACTTGATATAACTTCCTGATTTTATATTAAAAGCTTTTGGTTAACTGAAGAAACCGTACTTTTATGGCTATCGTGTTTAGAAGTTAACAGTTTACAACTATGACTTTGAATCTGCTGTAAGTTTACAGTCTTATAACGCTAAATTCCCGTGTTCGATATCCCTTCATGGACAGACAGCCTATTGTATAGCTTTGCACTAAAGCAAACAAACGATTTTGCCACAAAGAAAATTTATTTGGGAAATTTAAAATAACTTTTTATCTTTTTTTCTCTGTATGCTAGCTTGGTTTTAACATGTGTTATTTAAATGATATTATCTTATTTCTAAGTTATAGTTTTTGTAGCCTTAACCAGAACAGCAGCTTTTGCAGCATGGGCTAAACGGTTTGGTCAAATATCTCAAGGTTGAAATATAGCTGTAATTAATTAAGGATAATCAGTCAGTATCCTCGCCAGTTGACTAGAAGAGTATTCGTAGCTGAATAGCAGGACTGACTGTCATTTTATAAATCTTTCATAGCTGAAAGTGTGGAGCTTGTTCATCAGCATATCTCAGCTGAAACCTTGGAACTATCAACATGCAGTCCAGCACACAACACATATAACACGTCTAGTCCATTTAATGTATGAGCTGCTTAATTTTGTTTAATTTCCATATGTAGTTGATTGATTTTACTTGTAAAAGATTTTTGTTTGATTGTATTTGCAATTTTTGCAGACAAATTCGGGGCGTAAAAAGCAGTTAAAAATACAAAAACTATAATCTTTGATCATTCATTATAATACAAGAGTAAAACTAGCTAAAAATTAGCGCACATGTCATCTATCCATTTATAAATGAGAAAAAGTACGTGCATTTTGACATTTTTTATTCTTGAAATACGTTTAACTAGATAAGTGCCTAGTTGCTAAGGTGCTCGACTCGCAATCTGTAGGCCACGGGTTCGAATCCCGTCAACAAACATGCTTATTTTTCAGCTGTGTGGATGTTATAATGTGATGATCAATCCTATTAGCTGTAAATATAATAAATTGACAAGCAAATAACGTAACATCTTTGAGTTAATCAATATAAAGGTTGAATATTTGTATTAAAAGTAATCTGAATCCACGCCAGGTCACACATTATATTACGACTTTGCTTCTTGAAAATAACGTTGCTAAATATTATTTCTATTGCAATAGACTTTTCCTTTTCAAGGCTTTCATCTCCAAAGCACACCCTTCCTTTTCGCTTGCTTTCCATAAGCCATTTAGTGCACGAGAATAACAGTTTCTCAACACATGTTTCAACAGCCCATCCCACAGAAATCCGTAGTAGATGAATCCAGCGACTTGACTGGTATATCTTTTTTTATGAAAAAGTATGAATATTAGTTTTTGTAGCTACTTTGTAAGTGCGATAGCTGAATGGATACAACATGGAAGCAACTTGTGTACACATCAGTTGTATTGTTTTCCATATAGAGATCCATGTTAATGATGTTGCATACTGCTGCTTAAGACATGTGGACAGTTTTTATTTATATATACCTATTTATCCCTATCAATATAGCCAACCAGGGGCACAGCAGAATGTCTGCAGACTTACAACGCTAAAACCCGAGTTTCGATACCCATGGTGAGCAGAGCACACATAGCCCATTTGTTAGCTTTGTGCTTAATTACAAACAAACAAACCCTATCATTATGTACTTGAATGGGAGTTTAGATATGCATGTCCCGACCTTGTAGAATGCCATTTATGAAGTTATTATGCATTTGTTATCAGAGTCATCAACATTTCATGTTACCCTACATTGCTGATTTTCCAACAGTTCGTGTTAGATTTGAGAAAATACCAGATACAATACAAAGGGCTACTGAAAAAACTTTACATATGAATTTAGGAGGTTTTAGAGGTTATGCAAATACAATTTGTAAAATGTACGATGGACAAAAGTATTTTTATTTTTCACATGAACATCACTTTGAACTTCGGAGACATATCTTTAGTACAAAAACATTTGTAAAACATCTGATTTGTTTTGTACAATAGACATGTACTGTTGGATAAAAGCTTGCCACATTTCGTGAACATACACCATAAATTCTGAGCTACAGTCAACATTATTTCTTCAGTATGGTCCAGTGTACATTCAATTATAGGTATCTCTATATTTCCTTTTTTTAGCCACGACATAGCGGTTCATAGAATGGCTCCGAGTTTTTCAAGTACAAACTTTTAGCTCATAACTCGGTTATTTCTTGACCGATTTGAGATCTAATTAAAGATTTGAACTCAGGGGGTCAAACCTTTTCGATTGATGTATTTGACTTTGCCCAAGGCCTCACAGGTAAATTTATTCTAATCCTGCCTAAATTGGTAGAGATCCTGATGAGTAATAAAATTGAATCGGGTATACGTGTACCACACGCTTGGTATTGCTGGCGCACAAAATTATAGCTAATATAAATGGGGGGAAAAGTCTCATAGATTAATTTATTCTAATCCTGCTTAAAAGAATTTCAAGTGCTGCGGCTATTGAGTATTCCCATTTGTTTCATTTTGGTTAGTTCATTAATGTTGGATTATTATCATTTTCATTTCTTGTACTTGTTTGTGGTGTGTGTATGTGCGCGTGAATGTCATTGTTACGTGTGCATAGTCTAAGAAGGTGAGTACTGGAACTTACAAGTTGGTTAGCACGTAATTTTGGACTTTAGTTTTAAGGTTAGGGCTTAGGAAGGCCCTACGAAAAGGAAGGGAAGGAGTTACAGTTAAACGAATTGTTAATTTGCCCCTCTATAATAACGATGGATATATCTTTAGTCAGATATATTTAGATAATTTGTTCTAAATATTCATGTAGATTTTCTGCATGTGATTTTTCTAAGATTAGATCAAGATTACATACCACAACAACTGTTCAATAAAACTTATACTTGTTTGCCCCTATTTCTGTGTCATGCTATTGTGAAGTAAGGTCTTATTCATTTCAAAGGGTGCGATACCACATAAGGACTTTTGTCTGACTTGAATGTACAGCAGCATTATAATTCTGCTCTTTCTCTTGTAGATGTGTTTTTCTTCACTAGCAGTTGGACTTTCACAATACAGAATAATATATAAAAGTCGACAAGTTTGATAAAGAATCAACATTCATTTATCTGTATACAAAGACCGTTAATTTGTCCCGATTTTGCTTGTTTTCTTCTGTCGTTGGTGTTCTATTTATATTTCCTCAACCTACAATGTATTGTAGGTATCTATATTTCTCTGTCAGAAATCAGTATATCTGAATACCAGGATTCTAAAGTAAAGTCATAGTACATTTTCACTAAGAAAATATATGTAACTGTCCTTTCTTAAGAGTGTTATATGAAACGATATCACTGAACCTAATGGATTGATATAACATGTAATCTTGATACAGTATTTGATTATATTATTTTAAAAAGGGCGACTACTTATGAATATTTAAGTATGAAATGGTGTGTGTGTGTGTGTGTTTACGTGTATGCTGTGACTTCTGGATACAGCAGATATAGTGGGGTTGATATATTATTGCATGTTCTTTTTTGCTTTTACTCATAACGTCTTATAATTGAAACTACATCTATCCAGAATGTTAGATGTCGACTTTAACCTTTGTCCAATACATTTTAGTTGACGATACACAGGCATGTCAGTTGCAAGGATCACGTGTGAGGTGGAAAAGCTCCATGTGAGTGCTAGTCCAGTAAAAGTTGCTATGTTTTATCCTGAACGTAATTATTTTCACATGTCTAGAAGCGTCGCCTAATTTGGATTAATATTGGGGATTTTAACCAGGCAGTTAGCAGCAAACATTCCTTTCAGCGGCCTCTTGAAGGTCATTTTTTTCCAATTTGTGAAAAAGCATGATGATATGTGCCTTGAACTAGACTGCTACGTCGGTAGTACTTCAAGAGTGAAAAGGTCAAAACGAGACATCTCGCATTTCATTCTGTTCAATGACGTAATATTCTGTGGATACCGATACTCCAGTGCAGTACGGGTTAGTGCAAAATCCACGTGTTTGGTGCTCTCGTTCCAGATGATGTTTTTTTTTCCATCGAGTGCTTATGACTGACCTACTAAGCTTACATTACTTCATTTCACTTGAACATTATGTGAGGTTAAAGGGAAAACAGCGTTAATGAGGGGCGCAGAAGATACAGGCGAAAGGCAGCAATTTTCAGTGCATCGCTGTATGGACTGTACTCGAGTCGCTGCTTTAGTGTTCGTTTATTAGAAGTGCAAACTAAGTTATTGTCAGAGCAGTAAGTCAGTAATTATAAACATTTTCATAAAATTAGAAATTTCCAAATTTCTTCAAGACAGAACCAGAGAGAGAAGAAAAGACAAACACTGCATTAGTTCGTCGAAGGGTATTTCCAGTGCCTTACACAATTGCAAAACCAGTTCTTTAACAAGACTCGCAGAACTTATAACAACTGGGGCTTTGTACTACTTCTTGTGAGATCACAACTTTAAGTTGTAGTTTATTTTTTATTCAAACATTCCACTAATTTAGCTACAAAACTGTATATTATTTACTGATAACCGTCCTACCATATTTCAAGTACAAACCAACATGCCAGGACTAGGAAAAGAAGTGAATGAACCGAAGCCTCGTGTGGGAAGAACTCGGCAACAGAGCTTAAGTGAAATGTCTTCGTCATTTATTCACGAAAGTTTCACTAGCAGTGTAGACTTCCCCACTTACATCCCATGGCAGACTCTATCTTCCGATTTATCAGAGAAACTTAAACATGGTTCTATTCGAATAAACCGCAGTAATAGGGTTGAATACACCACTATCCACGAAGAAGGAGAAAGGGTTCCACTGCTTGATGATCAAGATAGCATCAGTTCAGTTAAAACTGAAGCTGTTCATGGAGGTGAGTATATAGCTTTTAGATAGCAATGCAATAGATTGTAGACAAAAGCTGTAAACAACATGTTTATATGTTTGTGCAAATTATAATAGTATTGTCACTACGAATTATGAAAATACATCTTTTTATAATTATAAATTTATATAATTGTATCAGATGTTTGGCTTTTTCTGGTCTATGATATTTACGCATATATTTTTTAAGTCTTTGGCTTTGAAATCAGGCTAATTTTGAAGCGAATGACCTACAGCAAGTTCGAGAAAAGTTGATAATATATAATATATAGAAGATAACTGGTATTTTCAACCTGAACGGCACTTTATTCAACGCATGGGCTAAACGACCTGGTTAGAGATACCGTAAAGTTATGACACAACCATCCCTAATTTAAAACTGCTAACTAGAGGGAGAGCAATCAGTTAATAGTGGGGCTATAAATAATATCCTCGCAATCCGACATGATAATCATTACGTCACAACCGGTTCGTAGAAGATAATACCAAGGACTAACCTAAAGTAAAATGTTAAGATAGTTCGTGCATTATGTGACAACTACTTAAAAGCAACAGAAAAGGGACCAATGTAATAATTACAGATATGTACCTTATCTACCTCAGACAGAATCTTCTACTTACGGTTACACTACACCATTCATTATGTGTGGTAAACTCCAGCAAAGCTAAGTTGTTGTTAAACCAAAGCTACACAATGGTTTATCTGTGCTCTTCTAACCACGGGTATTAAAACCTGATTTTTAGCGTTGTAAACCTGCAGACACACAGCTGAGCCACTGTGGGGTGGGGTGAGGAGCACCAGCAAAATATATTTAGTGCATTTCCTGCACTAAAGTATTATGCAGCTTTAATTTTATACAAAGTAATAACAAAGAAATTAATGTATAATGTTGTTGTTTTTTTCGATTACGTTTCCCAACAGTGTTCTAGACAGTTACTTTGTAATAGTAGAATTTTCATTTTTTATAAAACCTAAAAACATATGAGCCTAGGCGGTCTGGTTTTATTACACTTTTTTTGTAGCAGCGGATTAACAATTAACTGAAGAGTAAAATATTTTTACATTAAAAAAAATACACAACTTATTATTTTTAATCGGGAAATATTAATGAAGTTTAAATCATTCAAGTTGGAAAAATGCTAAGTTTTCTAAATTATTTATATCCTGTTAACACAAAAGTGAAAGCTTTAGTGAAAATGAATTGGCATGTCTACTGTTAGTTTGTATGATGTATGGTGCCGAAACTTACAAGACATAATCCTTTTTAAAAATAGAAAAATTAAGAAAGGCAAACTGAATAAATTTATATTATTTTTAAATCCAACTAATCCATTGTGAATTTCCATTATGTATGATATAACTTAAAAATTACAACATTTTATTTGCGCCGTCTTCGCATGGACTGTTTGTTTGTTTGTTTTTAATTACGCACAAAGCTACACAAGGGCTATCTGTGCTCTGCCCACCACGGGTATCGAAACCCGGTTTCTAGCGTTGTAAATCCGCAGACATACCGCTGTGCCACTGGGGGGCAGCAGGGACTGTAAAACAAAATCCCTCACTCTGGGAAATAAGGTCGATGCTCAGCTACCCTTAATTATCAACGACTAAAGCCAACTGAGGGCAATTAAAAAAGGCCCGATGAAAAACTCTGATAAAAAAAACGTAGCAATAAAAAATTCAAAAAGCATGGAAAAATGTTTGCTATCGATATGCAATCTCATGAAATTAACTACATAGTTTAAATATATATACTAATGTAGAATACACACTTGTTTCATATTTGAAATTCTCGTTTTGAGTCTGCTAAATAGAAATTAATACTGTTTTTTTCCCAAAATACTCTGTGCTGATACGTAAATTTTTGTTTAAAAATTTATCAAAACGCGAAACCAAGAAACAAGACATCTATAGAAGTTTCTAATCAAACAATAGGATTAGCTTTAGAATATCGTGTCAAGATAAAATGGTCCTGTACATGAAATTTCATAGAGTTGTTCTTATTAAGAGATTCTTTCTGGTCAGTGTAAAGTTCAAATTTCTAATGACAAAGTAGCTGGATAATGGTAGCATCTGAGTGTTAGACTTTTTAAAGGAATTAAAATGAATGAACGCTTCTGCATTTGATAAATAATGTTCAGTATTTTTCGAAGTTTTTATCTTTGTTGAATATAAGTCACAATTATCTGTTATAAAAGTTTAAGATATTTACATTTATGGGTTAGTAATAAAGATAAGGAAATAGCTGCAACATCTTTGTGTTGTTTTCGATCCCTGTGCCCTACAAAATATGTAACCAATTCATCCGATGATTAGAAAGGAAACAAATAACCTTGGATCTTATGCAATCACTTGTTCTTTACTACAAACAGCCTTGCCCTCACCACATAAAAAACAAACAAGCAAACTCAGACGCGCATGGGACTTGGGAGCGTATAGGCTTTTATGATTATGAAATGTTCTCTCTTCATGAAATTGATGATGTAAGTAGCGTCTAAATTGCTGGGGCCCGGCTTGCAATTTGCGGGTTCGAATCTCCGTCACACCAAACATGCTCGACCTTTCAGCCGTGGGGGCGTTATAATGTGATGGTCAATCCCACTATTCGTTGGTAAAAGAGTAGCCCAAGAGGGTGGTGATGATTAGCTGCCTGCCCTCTGGTCTTACACTGCTAAATTAGGGACGGCTAGCGCAGATAGCCCTTGTGTAGCTTTGCGTGAAATTCATAAGAAACAAACTAGACTGCTGCTAACGGCCTGACGAGTACGGGTATTCGGCTAACAAACTAGACTGCTGCTAACGGCCTGACGAGTACGGGTATTCGGCTAACAAACTAGACTGCTGCTAACGGCCTGACGAGAACGGGTATTCGGCTAAAAGCATCGTCGGCACTGCATGACATTACTACTTTCGTTCACAAGGTATTAAAGTTAAATAAGCCACCAAATAAAGGTATTGAATCTTTAACTCTAAAATTTGTTTTTGTACTTTACAATATAGTATAGTGCAGTGCAGGGCAGTATATAGGAAACTGACAAAATATTGAAAAAAAAGTTATTTGCTTCATGAGTTAAAAGTCATAATAACATATTATTAAAGCTCGAGTTTACTTGCATCGTTGCAAACTGACATTAGCATCATGAAAGCCCTACTTTATTCAAAGAATTAGTTATTGAAGGACGTCTCTCATTGTGTGTTAGGACCCAGGGCTTGAGATTTGTAAAATTATAAAGTGAAGCTCACTTTTACAGTTCCGATGAAGCTCAAGGGATTGAGATGGTCTGAGATGCATTCTGAGCTATCTACCTACCAGAATCACAGGTCTAAGTTGTAATATGTCGTACTTGAAGTGAGAAGGTGAACTAAGTGATTGAATGACGATTGAATATGATGGAAAAGAAGTGATAAATTTGGTTTTACACCTAAGCTCAACGAAATGTAGCACAACATTATCTTGTGCAAAGATGGGGGATAATTGGTTTCACCAAATTGTTACCCAAGCCCTGTATAATTAGGCTATACTTAATAATACTTTATAGATATGGAAAATGTGATTTGCTAGCTTGCTAAATTTTTAAAATAGTTTTACTGTTTCAGATTACATTTGCTTATTGCATAAGAAACATAAAACCTTACATTTTTTATCAAAACAGCTTAGATATATACATTTTCCCGCTTTTTCACAAGCATCATAATAATCATATCAAGAAGAAACGAGGATACCTACTTTGGAAAACATGAACACTGAAAATTATGAAATTAAAACAATTTTATACGCTTATCATAATTTTATTGAAATATTCATTACATTACAAAAATCTTGTTTCACCCTGTACTTAAGCATCTTAAAGGAGCAACACATGTTTGTAAGAAAACCAACTTCAAGGGGTAATGATAACATTGTTTAAACTATAATTATTTTTTTTTTTTAGGTTATGAAAAATATAGAAATAGCAATGAACAATGATCCGTTTAGTAATATTGTTCATGCTTGACTGTAATATCGCGCCCGTTTTTGCTGGCGGAACAGTATTGAAAAAATAAAAGAACAAATAGGCGATCCGTATTATGAAGCACTACCGTGGTTCATGATAACATGATTTCACTATAACATGATAGGTATTATGTATTCTAGAGTAAAAAAACTATCGTTTCCCATGTTACTCACCATAAAAAGCAAAGTTTATATCCACCGGCCTAGTGGTTATGGCATTCCACTCACAGTCAGCGATCACGGTTTCGAATCCCTTCACCAGAAATGCTCGTCGTTTTAGCCGTGGGACGTTATAATATGACAGTCAGTTACACTATTCATTGTTAAAAGAGTATCCCAAGAGTTGGCAGTATGTGTGTGTGGTGTTGACTAGCTCTAGTCTATCACTTCTAAATTCAATTTTTGTATACTTTACTATGTAATAAAGCAATGCTGAAAGAGCTCAAAAAAACGTTTTTACAACTAGTTTTGGGTTGTATCACATTTTGACTGGTCTATCAGTGATGTTGACTAGCCGTTCTCCCTGTACTCTATCAGAACAGTTATGAGTAGGAAGATCTTGTGTAGCTTTGCGCGAAATTTCTGTACAAATCTTGCCAATATTTAAATTCATTCATATTCATTCATTTGGTTTTCTAGGGGCAAGCTGGGGTGTAGCAACTTTTTTATTGGTAAACACGGCTCTTGGTGCAGGGGTACTTAACTATCCAGCAGCGTACAACAGAGCAGGTGGTGTTTATGTTGCTGCTGGCATACAGGTTGTAAGTATCAATCGTCAGTTAAACTATCAATCTATGTTTTTATGTAAACGTCTGTTATTTTTCGTCTGTTTGGTGTTCATCAATCCGGATGTGTGTGTTCATGAATTTTTCTATTCACCGACTTTCAAATATTTGGTGAGAGTTCTGCTAGCTTTGATATTTCTTAAGTGATGGTCTTAGGTAACTTTAATTATATTTTACTTAAAATAAGTCGGCTTTTTAAAATGTGGAAATCTGTGTACCAAATAATATATATATATATTCAATAACATCATATAGTAACAATTTATGGGTATATCTATTAGAACTAGCTCAATTTTTTAGTTATATAATTACGTACATTTCTATCCAGAACGAGAGGGTTGTATACTATTTACTCAAATTACTCTAGGTGATACTGCTATTGCTAGGGGCAACAATGTTAGTCTTAGCTCGCTGTTCTGATCTCAACCTTGACAACACCTATCATGATGTACTTTTGTCGATGTGTGGAAAGCGGGCTCAGCAACTCTCAGCTTTGTCTATTCTGTTTTCCTGTTACGGTATTTGCATAACTTTCCTGGTCATTGTTGGAGACCAGTATGACAGACGTAAGTATATATTTAATACCATCTCAATCTAAATTTTATATGTGTGGGTTAAGTATATATGGTAAATTATTGAAAACCCGTAGAAAAGGGTGATGTTATAACAAATATTATTAGCCTTACTGTGTAGTGTAATATTTATTATTACCCATTAAGGAACCACGCTTTGTCAACTAAGGTCTTATACATCATTTGACTTGAGGTAATAATTTAGTTTTCTTATTTATGATGTGAGGTTTATGTAAAATCGTCAAGCCGAACTGTACTAAAGGGTTAACCCACTAGTGCTTGCTAGTAAGGCACTTTTTTAACAACTAAACTATGATATTCTTCCCCTCTCACAAACAAGTTTCATACGTCCTCGGACCTTTTCTCAGGATTGCCCTACGTTGATCGCCAGTTATTCTTGTGGTAATATCAATTTTGTTTTATTTTTTGTTATATTTCCTCGGCTCAGATTCGAACCCAAGATCTCTTGCATACTAGGTGGGTGCTTTACTAACTGTACTAAAAGGTTAACCCAAGTGCTCTTATTAGGCATTTTTTATCGACTTAGGCTACTTTTATGAGTTACGCAAACTGATATATAAATAGGCTATAAAAATGTTTCTTACTCTAGAATACCTTGTTTAGGATGTATATGTCATGCTATTCTCTTTATTACTGCGTTATTTCAAATATTCGGTTTCCCAATGATATTTTCTATCCGTTGTTTATTTTCCATATAATAATTAAATAAATGCAGATAATCATGAAGTACTAAATGAACTACAAGTGACCTTTGTTGGTAAGTACAAAATACAATACAAACTATAAAAGTTTTGGTTTATTTAATATTATTTTCTTTTTATTTTAGTCTTTGCGTCAATTTTCGGAAATACTTTCTGCCACACGTGGTACCTCAACCGGGATTTTACGATTTTAATTACAGCAGTGATCTGCATTCTTCCGATGTCATACTTCCAGAGGCTGGACTTCCTTAGATACGCTAGGTAAATCTGATATGTTTACTTTGTGGTTAAATTAGCTACGCCCAGTTAGTTAAGCTTTAAATTACTATGTTCGCCTACTCGAAAATTATAGTCACATAATCAGAGTGCATCACTTTTTTATCGTCAAAATAATTTTAAAACTTTCCCACAAATGTCAAGTCAAATATACAAGGTTTGACTGATATATATATAGTAATTATAGTTTGTCCGCAGTAAGATTGAATATCAATCTACTGTTCTGAATACACTGCACAAATGTTATGAATAACCTGTGAGAGACCACAAGGTTACATTTAAGAAATTCTTTACTAACTGAAATTATTATATGAGCAAAACTCAATTTTGAACTAAATATAATTGTTATCACCGATCAAACATTCGTATCCGTTTTTTTGTCTTACTAAATTCGTATTGTGAAGGTCAGTTACACTTTTTGGAGACTATGATTAAATGTAACAATCTACTAACGAAGACCACATCTTCCCTGGCAATCACTCTTTATCTGCTTTTCGTGTCTCTTAACAGTGACCATGAAATAAAGGCTTCCTCTGAGAACATCATTTTAGTATTGTCCCATTCCATAACTCAGTTAATGCTTTAGATTTACGACTTCCAAATATTCACTTAAGAAAATCAAATGCACAGAATCCAGTAGAGCTATATCATGGACTTGACAGGTATGTGGTCGAAATGTATTCCTGTAATTACAGTTTCTTTGACCAGATCGCTCTTTCTTTTTTTATGAAATTAGCCTTTGACTTGGAGGTGACCGTGTTAGCTTGACTGGCTTGGTGCAGCATCGGAATCCATTGATTTTTCCGCTTCCACGGAGATCCCGGAGGACTTCCTTCTCAGAAAAGTTTATGTCCTTTGGCTTTACGTTATTTAATTAACAATCTCGACTGGTGAACACTGGTTTCCCGAAAGACTGGTGACATACCCTTCTAGCCACCGATCAAGTTTCAGAGTCATTTTACAAGCCCAGTGGTTCGTTTTGTATATAAGGGGCGTATACCTAATCATGTGATTGTTATTCTAAAACCATCGCAACATTCGTAGAATAGCAGCAATTAATCACACGTGTTTTCATAATATTTACGTGATCTTCTGTATTGATAAACAATATCTTTACCCTGGTTTACCATACGTATTAAGAAATACATTTCCACCTTTAAAAGGTATGATGGGTTGATTTAATCTAATTGAAAATTTCTATAATTTCGTAAACACCAAAATTGTAATGTAACAAAAGGGAATCCTCAATAGCCGCGGTACTTGAACTTCTTTTAGGCAGGATTAGGGTAAATTATTCAATGAGACCTTTTTATTAGCTATATTTTCGTGCGCCAGCAATACCAAGCGTGGGGCGGCGTACACCCGATTCGATTATATTATTCATCAGGATCTCTACCAGCCTACCCTCAAATTGAAATTATTTTAGGTAGGATTAGAGTAAACTAATCTATGAGGCC